CAGATAGTTCCTTTCGAAGTTCTTTTTCTTCGGTCTTTTTTCTTCGATTCTCCTTCCTTTTCACTTTTCTTCTTTTTATTTCTGTGTCTTCAAGAGTACTTATTCTTTCTTCCATTTCATCTATTCTGCTTTCATTGCCTTTTCCAGAGTTCTTTAGCACCTCCATTAATTCTTTGATCTCCTGCATTTCTTTTACTTCCCTCTTTAGGGACTCAATTTCATTCTTCTGGTCATTAATTATTTTTCCCTTATCATTGTTTTCCTTTATGACTTCTGTCAGTTTTTTAATCACAGCAATTTTAAATTCTCTATCTGGAAGGCTCAGATGTTCTTCCAAGTTACTTTCATTGCAATCTGGTAGATGGTTTTCTTTTTGCGGTGTGCTTTATTGCTGAGGAGTTGCTGGGTTGCATGTGGTTTTTCTACTCTCTACTGCCTGTTTTCTAATTTGCCGTATTCCTTGTGACACTGTGTTGCCCAGACTGGCCGGCATCTTGGGTGAACTTCCCAGCTCACCTCTGGCTCCTCTGGGGGACTTCTGCTGGTTTCACACAGTCTCCACCAAAGAAAGGTCACTCCAGCAAATGCAGGTGCCGGTAACGTGCTCCCCTGCACGCCTGGTCTGACCCAGCGGTGGGTGCTGCTCCCCTCTGGGCTGGGACTGCAGGCTAGAAGGCGCCTGGCATGGGCAAGCCTCCCAGCTTACCTCTGGCTCTTTGGGGAGCCTTCTGCTTGTTTCACACAGTCTCCAACAAACAAAGGTCCCTGCTGCAAAATGGCGATGCGGGAACGCGCTACACTGCACGCCAGGTCTCTATTTTATACATTCTTTAAGGAGGTATCTGAAAGTCTGCAAAAGTCTTTTGTGTACAGACACCATTATAAACGCATTCACAATATTCCCAAATTGAAAAAAATTCTTATTCTCAATAAAATCCTTCTGGAATTGATCTACATGCATTTTCAAGGGATGAAATATTAATATCCTTTACAACCTACACATGCAACTTTAAGGACATAATACTTAGGATTCGTGTTTAATCAGACTATGGTCTGTTAGCATCTTAGATAAGTTATGTTCTAATTATGTCATGGCACAACAGGACAAACTTCCCTTGCATAAAATAAACACATATAAAATATGTCACTGTGTTTGACTAGAGCAATTAAATATAATTTGATTTGAGGGAATGTTCCTGAAAAATTTTGCTACTTATATGGTTCTTCTTTTTCTCCTCTCTCCCTTCCCACCCTAAGAAAAGAATCAGGACTTAGAAAACTGGTATTTTCTTTCCAATAAACAATAAATGTCAAACATGACTATTGCTACCATTTTGAAAATATTAATTCTAGTATATTTTGTAAATTTTTTTAAAGATTTAATTATTTATGCATACAAGAACTGGTGTACATACTAGAGGTGTGGGGGTGAGTGGATTCACCAGAGAGAGAGTGGGGAACAGAACGAATAGATAGACTGAAGGACACTGCTGTGGGAACCAGCAGGCAAGCCAGAAGATGTCTGCTGCACCATGTGCGTTCTTCCCTGGCCAGGGATTCAACTAGCGCTGCAGTGGCTGTGGACAGCTTCATAGGTTGCATCTTAACCAATTGCGCCACCAGGGAGGCCCATATTTTGTAAATTTTATAAGGAGAATTTCTTTCTACTTTTACAATGAATGTTGGTTTCATCGATGGCAGTGTTAAAGTTTGTTCTTTATCTATAATACATCGCCTTAATTTGTCGTCTGCTACAAGACACTTGAATTTGTTGGGATTCAGACACACACACACACACACACACACACACACACACACACACATCTCCCTTGCTCCATCACACAAAAAATATCAAAAGATTAAGTCTTTCGATTATTGACTAGCAAAGAGCTGTCTTTTCTTACCCAACAGGTTAAATGCTGCAGAGCTATTAGATTGCCTGGAATGCTTTTTGACCTACTGACATCTTAGAGGAAAACTGTAAAATTTTTACTTCAGAATTAAGTTGTCCTATTTTTTCCCCCTTTTACTGCATAGCCTGCTAGGAAAATCGGATACAACTTTCTGTGAAAAAGGATTGGAAGTTCTGTAATATGCCTTGTTTTTAAGGCTACCTGTTTAGTTTGGGGAGTAGTTTGGTATATAATTGTGCTTGGCTTGGATACACAGGTTAAAGCTTAGCAGTTTCTTTAGCCCTGAGGATCTTAAGTCCATGTAAATCTTAGCTGTGGGAAACACTGATGAAGTTAAGATGAAGGTATGAGAAAGAATCAAGGGAGAGAGATATAATGATAATGATAAAGGGAAAGAGAAAGAGAAAAGAAGTTGATGAAATGCCACCAAAATTATACATCTTCTCTTGCTGAGTTAAGTTCACCATCTTACTTGATGATATCTGCCCAAGTTACTTATAAAACATCATAGATTAACAAAAAATTTCCTAGGGAAAGATAGCTTGCTTGAAGGCTCCTTTCCTTCCTGAACATATATTTAATTAGTTTTAAGGGAAGAAACATATTCCTGCATTTTTCTGCTATGGGAATATTTTGCAGGTTGCTTAGTTTAGAAGTCTGGGAGAATACAGCTTGGGAATTCTCTTGTACTGGAGGTAGATGTAGCTTTGGGTTTGGAATTATAAACAAAATACTAAGGAAGTGATACACATCCTACAAATTTGATTACTAGATGAGGGTGACAAGTGATGGAGGGAAGAATAGAAAACCAAAAGGAAGCATCCTCCATCACAAGGACAATGAATTTGGGGTCCCCAGCTCTCCTGGAACTTTGCTTCTTTTCCCCTTCCACATTAAAGAATGATTCCCAAAGTATTCATGGATATAATTTGAATACATTAAATTGCTGTCTTCTTTTTTTTTCCTGAGGTTTCCTGATGGTAGTTACTAGTTGCTGAGTATTTGAACGATGCCATTACCTTCCTTAGTTGTTGTGAGTAGTTTAGAGTAGTGGAGAATGAGGAAGGGCTATTGGAATGACTTCCCTCTTGGATTTCAATCTTTCATCATTCGTTTTCCATTCGTAAAGTGTATTTCAAAAACTGCAACTCTACAGTAGTAGAGGGGCCAATTGGTCCCTGCTCCTTATCTTTTAGCCAAACATCTTTACAAGGAAGGTGTTACTTTAGATGCTAATCTCCAAGTCTGTTGCCAATTGTGTCCCCAAGGTTTTAGATGTACACTAAAAAATACGCTTTCCTCATGTGTGTTTGTGTGTTGTTAATATGCTTTGTAAAAGAATAGTTTTATAAAAAAGTTAATTCTTTAATTTCTTGACTGATTTACTGGGTTCTAGTTAGGGGATATAAATTTGACCAAGACAAAATTTCATGTGGAGAAAAAAAGTCAAGTGGTAAAATAGTTTTTTGTCTCTTTCCTTCATTTTGTTACCTGCCTAAGAGTTACAATCAAAATTCATTGTTGTGGAATCTGTCTTTTCATGCCAACATTCCATTTGCTTTTCACCTCAGCCAGTCTCCCATTGTGGGTTATTGAATAATCCATGTTGGATTATTCTCCTGTATCTATCTAATTCCTGCCTTCATTCCCAGTCCAAGTCCTACAAGGGTTTGTCCAACTTCAACACCCTTCTCTATCTGGAACCACATGGCATTTACCTGGGTCACTTCTTTATTTGGCTCTCTGGGTGCCTTAGGTATACCCTACAATGTCATTGCACTCTTTCTATCTAGTCCTCATTTTCTGTATTTGAAATTGCATTTGGTAATCTGTAGACCATGTGAATCACCATCACAGAAGCTGGATTTTTCTCTATCCTGGACGGAGTGGAATTGCTGGATCATAAACCCTAAAAGTCTGACAGGTAGAACTAAGGCTATTGGAGAGATCGGGGGAGGGCAGAGAGAAGGGTGTGAAAGGGGACCCGTAGGCTATGGTGGAGAACTGTGGGTGTCTTGGTGGTAGGTGTGGTGTGGAGCATGTATTTGAGGAGGTGTGATCCATTTCTCTGCATCACACATGGGGAGTAAACCATGCTACCTCAAACACAACTAATTATTTAAATTAAAAAAAAAAAAAAAACAAACAGTGAGGAGTAAATGTAAAAAAGAAAAGCAACAACAGAACACCAGACTCAAAACAAAATGAAATCTTCCACACCATTACAATCACATGGCTTGACAATAACAGATTTCCCCTGTAATAATTATAATATAAAGGGCCTCCCCAGTGGCGCAGTGGTTGAGCGCTGGGCTGTGAAGCTGCCTGCAGCCTCTGCGGCACCAGTTCAATCCCCGGCTGCTCCCCGGCCTCTGGCGAGGGTCCCACATAGTGTGACAGATCACTCCTGCCATGCCTGCAGCTCCCCTCAGCAGTGTACTTCGTCCTTCTGCCTGCTCTGCTCCCCGCTCTGGCTCTGGTGAATTCTCTCACCCTCCCGCGCTTCTGACTGTACCCCAGTGCTTGTATAAACAAACCAAACAAACAAACAAGCACACAAATAAATAAATAAAACATGCCTCTATTAAAAAAATAATTATAACATAAAGGAGCTAAAGATTTTTGTGATTTAAGTTCTAAAACTTTACTTCCTTAGGACATAGAAAATGGGAAGGGAAGAAAGGATAATTGGCTTCATCCCTCCTCTGCAGGCTCAGGAATGTTTTGAGAAGATGAGACAAACTTTTGCTATCACAGAATTTGTATCTGACATAAGAGAAAAAAATTTTGTTGATTTCAAATGCAGAAGTCCTCCATTTTCTCAAATGAATGAAACTCTCTGCGCTTAAATTTGAGTACTTGATAACCTTCCAATCTCTGAGACAAAAATGTAATTAACAATATATTCCTTTATTTCCCAATCACAGATAAGGAATTTACAACACATCCCTGAAACATGAATGAAGAATAATACTTAAATATAACATTATAATATCCCTCCTCTTTGCTTCTATTTTACAGCAAATAATACATAAATCAAAGTGTCCAGGAAGAAAGAAGTGATTTTTCACAGTTATTTTCTTTACCATGGGAGTGCTAATGTTCAAGCATATCTTCTTCAGAAGCTTTCTTGGATTCCATGCAACAATTCTTCTGCTTCCAGTCTTCGGTTTGACGCAGAATTATACAGCCTCTCCTATTTTTCCAAACGCTTCTTTCCTCTGGGCTTGGAATGCCCCAACTCACAATTGTCATACCTTCAATATTCCGATAGATTTGAGCCTCTTCTCCTTATCAGGAAACCCCGGGGTATACGGCCCAGGACAAGGTGTTGTAATATTTTATAAGGAAAGGCTGGGCTGCTATCCTTATATACATAACGGTCAAAATAAGAGTGGAGGAATCCCTCAGTTGGCAAATCTGCAAAATCATTTGGACAAAGCTAGGAAAGACATTTGCGGTTCCTTTGGACCGAACGACGTGGGCTTGGCTGTAATTGACTGGGAAGAATGGAGGCCCCTTTGGGACAGAAATTGGGGTGCTAAAGTTGTTTACAAAAACCAATCAATTTATTTAGTTCTCCAAAATAATAGGACACTGACTCTTGATCAAGCCCTCCCAGTTGCCAAAGCGGAGTTTGAAAAAGCTGGAAGGAGTTTCATGCTAGAGACTTTAAAATTGGGAAAATTACTACGGCCGAAATACTTATGGGGTTATTATCTTTTTCCTGATTGTTACAATCATAATTATACCAAAGACCGAGCTTACAATGGAAGTTGCCCTGATATAGAAAAAGAAAGAAATAATTTGCTCGACTGGTTATGGAAAGAAAGCACTGCCCTATTCCCATCCGTTTATTTGAATACCGGAATAAATGGTTCCAATACTGCGCTCTTTGCCCGGAATCGTGTGCTGGAAGCCCTTCGAGTTTCTAAAGTGCGAAACAATACGGACCCGCTTCCAGTTTTTGTATATCAGCGTCTAGTTTTTACTGATAACTTTACGACTTTCCTTTGTGAGGTAAGGATTTCAAAGTATGAGGATTATGAATTAGTGTCCTCTGTAGTGTTCAATCGAATTTAATGTCCCTCCCCTTTTGAAGGAAGGGAAATTTAGCTTTTCATAGCCTTTAGGATCATGCACACAGGTAGGATGCATCATGGCAAAAATGCAGAATAAGCACGTTTTATCTCTATCGTCATTGCAATCATGGAGAATAAGGTAGTACAGGCGACGTTTCAACTCAGTCCCTTCCCTTTTATTTTCCTGGGCCTGCTCTCTTGTCAATGGAAGTAATTCAAATCATAACAGGAACTCTGTGTGTTTGCTAGAGGAGGGCAGTGGTTATGTAAAACATGAAGATTAACCTGGGGAAGTATTAAAAAAATATTATTGTGGACCCTGTAGCTTAGCTCTGGTGTTACTGTCTGATATGTATAACACTTTCAAGTTATTCCCATCTGTTAACTCTCTCTGTTGCACCCACCAGGAAGACCTTGTGCATACAATTGGGGAAAGCGTTGCTCTAGGTGCCTCTGGAATGGTAATATGGGGCAGCTCCAATTTAACCAAAAATAAGGTAAGTTGTGTTGGTAGGCAAGGGATCAAAACATTTCTATGTTTAATGATTTGGGGTATTGGTTGGATAATAAAAAATAAAAAAATAATATATGAGGCACAAAATGTCTTTTCATTTGTGATTTTATTGTGATGCAGAATCTCTATAGCTGTTTCCATGAGGAAACAATTCAGTGACTTTTATTAAGAATCCCTAGAATAGATGGCTAGTTAAGTAGCCAAACAAAGACTAGAATGTGGTTTGATGGGCATCCCTGGTGTTTCAGGCGGTTTAGCGCAGCACTGTGAAGGTGTGCACAGCCTCTGCAGCGCGGGTTCCATCCCCATGGAGACGGAGCAACACACATGGCGGGACAAATTTCTCCTGGCTTGCAGGTCACTCCCCTCAGCAGTGTATTTCAACAGATCTGCCTGTTCTCTTCCCCACTCTGACTCTGGTGAAACCTCCCACTCTCCACACCTCTGGCCTGTACCCCAGTTCTTGTATAAATAAATTAAGATCTTTTTAAAAAATTCTCTTGACTAGACTGCTTGTAAGTTGACAAACGAGGACTAGAATGTGGTTTTATTTCATGTTTTTTTTTTTTTTCCTACCACACCTTTGTGTCTCTTCTTAAAAGAGGCTGTGTCTTCTCTTAAATGAGTTGCAATGAGTCAACCTGCATTCCTTTGGTCTTTCCTTCATTTAACTGCTGTTTATTTAGCAATTACTTATGCAATTATACACTGAATGACACTAGTTGCAGGGTCAGCAATTGATGACTGTGAACCAAGTCTGGCCAGTTGCTTGCTCTGTCCAGCTCCTAGGTCAAGACTCATTGATACAGTTTTAAATGGTAGCTAATAGGTTCCTGTACATCAGTAAAGCTTCATTAGCTCAAAGTCCTGCTCATGTGTTGAGGAGCCCAGGGCTGCTCTGCACTTCTGAGACACCAATATATCATAAAGGCAGAGAGGGTATCATTAAAACCTTAAAGTATTTGCTGCCTGGCTTATACCCAAAACGTTTGCCAACCCTTGAGTATTGAATGCCTGCTGTGGTTAAATATCAAGTAATTTTTAGAGGATGGAAATGTAATAATGAACAGATCACAGGTCTTCTCCCTGCATTCTCAGAGCTGGGAACACAAGTACAGATAGAGCAGGTCAGGAGAATAAAGGTAACAAAGAGCCAGGAAGCAGGGTAGGCAGGATGGAGCACGAAGGAACGGTGATATTTTAGATGAGGCAGTCACAAGATGCTCTGGTGAGGTTGTGCAGCAGAGACCTGTTGAATTAGGGACCAAGTTTCTGGAGGTAAGTGCAATGGCCTGCAGGCTGCAATGTGCAGAAAGAATGAGAGGGCTGGTGGGTCTGGAGTGCAATGAGTGAAGAAGAGAAGGATAACAGATGTGGTTCTGAGATAGCAGGCAGTCATGTGTGGGCTTTTACTCTGAGTGGGAAGCTACTAACATGTTTGAGCAGAAGAGTGGCAATCTCCGATGAACAAGTCAGAAGAAGTACTTAGCTCACTTGAGAATAGAAGGCAGAAGGGGAGAAGGGTAAGGTGCAGCAGGGAGAGGAAGCTAATGCAGGCTTGGACCATAGGTGTGAGCAAGTGTTTGGCAGTGACTGTAATCCAACTTTCGAACTAACAGTGGATTGACTGAGATATTGATGAGCAGAGTGGATAAGAGATGCAGTAAGATAGATGCCTCCAAGACTTCAGACTTGAAGGAGAAGCTTCTGAGATGGCATGAGTTTCTGGAGCCGCAGCACAGCAGGGGATGCACAGGGAAGCAAAGGAGTGGGGAGTAGGGCAGGGGTTGGGGCTGGAGTAGAAATTAGAAACAATCAGGTTAGTTTTGAAAGAATGACTAAATCGTTTAAATGTTTCCTAATGGAGAGGAAGGAAACCCTTCCTTATTTTCCACAGGTTATATTTACTAGTGTGTATTTTTAGAAAACCTGTTCATTAGGAATATAAACCTGTTTTTTCTCCATTTGGTCTCATTTTTTTTTTTCATTTTCTCCAAATGCATTTTCTTCAGCTCAAAAAAGCTTTCACTGTTATGATCTAACCTTTGTCTCTCTCCCTTTATTTTTATCCTATTTTAGTTCTGTGTATCAGGTCTTTATACCCTACCTCTTCAAACGTTTTGACTCAAAGCAAGAGTAAAGCTGTCACACGAACACTGAGGAATCGGAGCTGATTTTGTCCTTCATGGTGAATGTGGAGATGCTAGTGATGCCCATGCCTTGGAAAAATTGTGATGGACTCTTAGGAGCTTACCCTAGGAACACAGAACAGAGACTTTGTATTCTAGGAGCAAAGGAGATCTTTTGATAATTTGTACTTAAGACAGAAAAAAAACATCATTTTACTTCATGAATAAAATACATTTGTCACCTTTGATAAATTTTTAAAATAGTCTCAACTCTTCTGCCTATTAGGTCTAGTTCTATCCACTCTGATTTGATCACCAAATAAAGAAATAATGCAAAATTTCCTTCACAGAAAATCAATCAATCAGTCTCTAATAGAACAAGCTAATAATTTACCATAAGCTTTCAGATTTAAAAAATTATTTAACAATTATAATTCTCCTACTTATAGTCCTGATTTTCATTATTTGTTTCCAAAATCTGAAAACTCTATTTGGAGGATGAACAATTTTATGATGGGACCACTTAAAGATTTTCCTTATTGCATCCTTTTTTAGTAAAAGGAACTCAGGAGTCTCCTCTTACTCAAGTGAGGAATGACTCAGGTATTCACTAATTAGGAAGACGAATTGATGTACTATTTAATTGTCACACTTTTTTTGTTCTTTTTTTTGTTGTTCTTTAATGTTCACATCTTCTGCTCTGACTCTCAGATCATCTTCGCCTTTATTCACACAGAAGGATCCTTTAACTTCAATGTGGCTATTTTCTACCTCATGACACTGCTGTGGAATAGCCCCCACATACAGTAGAGCAATGGATTATTTGTCATGATTCCTCTGATTCAATGGCAACTTGAGAGCCTTTAATTGCAGGTTTACTTGCAATGACTGAACTGACTTAAAAATTATTTTCAAATGAAAGCAAACCATTTCCTTCCATTCTGTTTTATTAGTTCCAGTGATGAGACGGAACCAGTCTCTACAGGTCCCAGCTCATGAGCTTCTCTATCTTAAAAAGCAGCATCACTGGGTTGATTTTCTCTTACCTTGGATTTGTCCTCCTCTTTGTATCTCATTTTACCAAACCCAACTGGAATCAGTTCTGTGTTTATGAGAACCAGACTGAGAGAATCCTGAAAATTCATCTCCATCTCTCCCGTTCTCAGTGTTCACACCCTTCATCATATCTGTAAAGTCCTTTTGCCATGTAAGATAGCAGTGTCACAGGTTCCAGGGAATAGGGTTTGGGCAGCCTTGGAAGGCCATTATTCTATGGAAGGGAAGGTAGCAGGAAATAGATTCAAGTGGAAGCTGCCAAGATTCCTCCACTTGCCTGTTGACCTAGCATAGCTCTTTGCTCTGCTGAAGACTAGAACCACCTCCTCAGCACTGTCAGCATGAAAGAAAGTGACTATCTTCTGGGTATAGAAAAGGACAGTGTCCCAGTTTTAGGACACACTAGTTTCAAGATGGGTCATTTTCAATACTCAGATTCCACAAATAAATGCATTTGTAAAAGAACTGCTTAATTCACCCATAATATGAACTACAGATCACATTTACTACAAAGTGCATTCAATTGAACCTCCATTATTTTGAACTTGTATTTAGAGCCATATATCCAGTGTTATTTAAATGTGTGTGGAAAATGAGATACTTATATTATATTTTCTTGAGGAGTAATGATACACTGGTGCTATGCTAAGTACTTTTATATACCATGTATCTTTATACCACAACACTGTGTAGTCCATGCTGTAATCATGCCACAGATGAGAAAGCAAATGGATAGCCTGATTAATTCATGTCTCCATGATTACTTGGACAGGAAACTAAGACTAAGAAAGTTTGGAAGTTTCCTCAATTGATGCAGCTAATATTAGTGTAACTGAGACTCCCATCAGAGTAGTGGACTCCAGAGATAATGCTCTAACTGCTGTATGTTCTGTGCCTCATTCACCCCCATTAGCTGGTGAATTATTGTGGAAGACAAAGGCTAGTTTGTTATCAGTGAATTAATCGGTGGCATGAAATGGCATGTGAAACTTGCAAATGTTACTACGTGTATTTGGAATAGTCTTTGCTTGTGCAGAAAAGTATAAAATATGTCCTATGTCTCCCTGGATTTATATTTTCATGCTTCCTTAGAAAATGCTTATTGCTAGGATTTAAATGACATACAAATTAACTTGCCCCTTCTTATTCTGACCTTCTTATAATTTTACAGAATGCTTGCACGAACCTAGCCAATTATATGAAGAATACCCTGAATCCTTACATAATCAACGTCACCCTAGCAGCCAAAATGTGTAGCCAAGTGCTTTGCCAAGATCAGGGAGTGTGTGTACGGAAACACTGGAATTCAAGTGAATATCTTCACCTGAACCCAAAAATTTTGTTATTCAAATGGTGGAAGGTGGAAAATATGTGGTAAACGGGACTCCCACACTGGAGGACCTGCAGCAATTTTCTGAAAAATTTCATTGCAGCTGTTATGCCAATATCCATTGTATGACTCGAGTGAATGTGACTACTACAAATCTTACCCGTGTATGTGTTGGTAATGATGTTTGTATAGATGCCACTCTAAACTCAGCACTCAGTGGTCCTTCTAAAGTGAGTGACAGATCTTCAGGTGCTTATAGCAGTGCTGCTGCTACTATACCATATGCTACAATGTCCCCACATGCTTCTGGGAAAGTCCTCAATGAGAGCCTCCAAACAAAATGCTTAGTGGAAGCTGTCTCCAACATCCTCCAAGAAGAACATGAGCGTCGCTTAAGTAATCTAAACACTCCTAATGAATCAACCCTTACCAGTACAAGTTCAGTGCTTATTAAATTTCCTATCCACATACTTTATGTTTTTCTAGCTTTTACATTTTTATACTTAGTAACTTAAAAAATGTGTTTTTTTCATGCACATGATAATCCTTAGTTTGTATTTGAAGTGCTGATAAAAACACATGGCTATGATAATGAATAGCTTGACATTTTGAGCAAAAATTATTTTCTTATGATCAAATGAAACTTTAAATTATTATTAATGATAAACAAGGAATGTTGACTACCACCTTTGATTTTCAAAATCATAGAACAGTGTTATTACTAAAACCATTGATACTACAACATGATTGAAACTACATTTGACTTGAATCCAGATTTTTAACAGAACATACAATTTCTTTAAGATGATGTCCAAGTTATATATTCTGGTTGCCGTGATTCTGTAGCAAATATTTTGCATACATGAATGTATGTATACTGATTGTAAAAACTGATTGTAATTCCTAAAACAACTGTCTACTTAGGTTTTACCTGAGAAAAGTGAAGGTTTGGATAATACCACTTTACTACAAATGAGTATCATTGTGGATTCACTGTAGTTCATAATAAAAATGTTAAGAAAGTAATAATGAGGAAAACTCTTTTTCTTTTATAATGTCTATTGCTAGTTGGTCCTTGGCATAGAAATATGATTTCAGCTACTTCAGTTTAATCATTGCTTCCAGTTGTGTTGTATAAACAGTAGCCTTTAACAAGTGATTATCCTGTCAACTTGGCTGAGTTAATGTCTTCAGAATTCATATAGTCGGTATTCTGATTGTCTTTTCATCCTTGGTAGTCAAGTTGACAATCTTGTGCACCCATAATGCCTTACTTCATCTAAGTTCCATCCACATCCTCAGAGAGCATTTATTGAGTGTTTTTTTCTCTGCCAGGGTCAATGGAAGCATCACAGATTAGAGAGGAAGGAGAATGTTTCTTGCTATGCTGAGTTTGGTGTATATTTGAAGAAGACAGACCTCGAAATTGAAAAATTACAACAGTGTGTGGTGAATGTTATGATAGAAACTCAGCATGCTGTGCATACAAATATGAATTCCAAGAGTGCCTTTTATGCTATCTATGTGACCCAATAAAATTTTAATATATTGTGCTGATACAACATTGCTTATTTGATTTCTAGCACTTTAATATTCCACATATTCAAAACATACTTTAGCATAGGCACATAGTTTTAAAAGAAATATATTATGTTCCCCACACCAACTTGTTAATCCTAAACAACACATAAAGGGATAAAGCTTGCATGAATATACAGTTATGTATTTTGTTGGGAAGAATCATTATGGATGAGTTTATCTTTCTCTAAATGTCTCTTAATTGCAGCCCAGAAATACAGAGATTTCAGGGTTAATCATTTTTCAAAAGCATGAAAAACACTGATTGTATTAAGCAGGATGTGAATGTTTTGGAAAATTGAGCAACCAGAAATATACACATATATTTTGTATCCGGTAGAAAACATTAATCACTCACTTCATTAGTCACTGACTTCAGTGGCAAATACTTTGTTTGTTTGTTTGTTTAAAGATTTATTTATTTATGCATACAATAACTGGGGTACTGGCCAGAGGTGGGGGGTATGAGGTGAGAGGATTCACCAGAGACAGAGTGGGGAACAGGGCAGGCAGAATGACTTACATACACTGCTGATGGGAGCAGCAGGTGAGTCAGGAGAGGTCTCTGCGCCATGAGGGTAGCGTCCTGGCCTGCTGGGGATTGAACTCATGCTTCAGTGGCTGAGGACAACCTCATAGGCTGCGTTTTAACCCCTTAAGCCACAGGGAGGTCCCTGGCAAATACTGTGAATGATGTTTCCATGTGATGCTAGGAACTAGCTTGACTGAAATTGCCAGTCACCATTTTAGAGCTCCTCACAGATAAAAAGAGTTTGCGTTTGTTATTCAACACTTAATTATATGTTTTACATACAACTTCTCATTTAATTACCTAGTTTCCAGTTAAGGAAATGAGGCTGAAGTTGAGTAAACTCAAGGTAGCTACGATGCTGTTACAGAAGGAAAGAAAGTTTATACAACCTTCCTCTCTATCTCTTTGTTCGATGAAACATATTCAACCCTAATGTGTTGTGTTCAACTCTGAGTTCCTACTTGTCAGAAGTTATTGACATTAAAGTCTAATTTATAAATATAAAATTCAAACAAAAATCATTCTAGTACCATGAATGAGAAGCAATATTATATAGAGAAACTTTCTAAAAATTAAGTTTATTTTCATATCAAACACTGTATAATCACATCATAATAAATTTGTGAAATAAGAAAAATAATGAAGGAAAACACCAGTAATCACTGTAATATATACTGGTAACACTTGGCATATTTCTTTCTAATTTTCTTCTAAAGAATTTTTTAATATCATGGGTGTAATAATAATACATCTATATACTTGCATCCTACTTTTTTTCTATGCAGAACATTACTTGCTACAATGCCTGGCACACAGTTGATGTTCAATATATACTTTGAGTGAATGAATGAGTGATTCATAAATCTGACTCAATAGTAGCTATAAATTTACCATGAGTTTTTTTTTTCAGCTCTGCACATTATAGTGAATGATTACAAAGTCATTCTTAAGCATTGTTCTATTCTTATCCTAGTACACTAGCACCTGACTTCACATGGTTTTAGCCCGTGTGAAGAGCTGAGGTCTGAAGAGAATATATCCCTGGACAAAGTCAAAAAGTTAGTTATCAACAAGTCTAATCTGGAAGTCAAGTTGCTGAAATGTCACCATAACTCGCTGTAAGATGGAAACCAAATATGTGTACTTAGCTTTTGATGATGCCCATGAATTTACTGCATTTGTAATTAATTTTCAGTACTCATACTGGTAAAGTCCAATCAACTTCCAGATCTTTCAGCTCTAGGGTTTCTGCAGATGTAACTTAGCTCACTGCTTTTGGATGGGAAATCCACCTGCTAAACTGCTTCATAACCCCAGTTTCTGAGAACCTTTCTAATTTCCTTTTAGGAAACAGCAAGATACTCAGACTCACTACTCTTCAGAGTTCTCTTATACAGAAGGGAATTAATGATAGTAGCCTTTTGTGCACATTTAATGATATCAGGTAGGAAACATACTTGGCATAAAACCTGGCAGATAAAAAAGTCCTGGCAAATGTTAGCTATTGTTATCAAGTACTGTCAATATTGATCCTTTAAAAGTCATGATAGGTAATATTTTCTCCATTTTGAAGTAAAAAATTATGTATGACTCAGAGTAGTGAAATGGGTTGCTTAATATTATTTAGAAGTACCTGTGACTTGAAACCTTCTCTTTTGAACCTTAAACTTGATATCTTTTCATTTCGACAGAAGTATGTAAGACTATTGGCCCCAAATTCGTCTTTACTAGCTTATAGAGAAATATAACAACCCCAACCCATGACTATACTGATATTGATATCAGTCTGTGCTATTCTTTGACCACATGAAAGAAAAACTTAAATTTAAACAGTCTATAAGCAACCTACCCTTAACTCTCATGCTCTCAATATCTAAATGTCACTTCCCCATAAAAGGAACATGCGTCTTTTAGGAAAGTGTCTGAGTCTAAAGTCTTTTTCCAATGTATAAGTCTGCGATATAATTGTTATCATAAAGTAAGGATGCTATCAAGGATTACTAGATTTTGATATCAAAAGAACTGATAACTTTTTTTTAAATTAATTTATTTATACAAGCACTGGGTACATTCAGAAGCGCGGGAGGGTGAGAAAATTCACTAGAGCCTGATCTCGGAACAGAACAGGCAGACTGACGAAACACACTGCTGAGGGGAGCAGTGGGCGAGACAGGAAAGGTCTGCGCATCATGTGGGTCCCTCGCCTGGTGGCCAGGGATCGAACCGGCACTGCAGAGGCTGTGGGCAGCTTCGCAGCCCATCATTCAACCGCTGCGCCACCACAGGAGGCCCCAGAACTCATAAATCTTGATGATACCATAAATCTTGATATCAAAAGAACTCAACAGTTTTAACCTTGACGAAGGTTGAAAAATTTGAGAATCATTAAATAACTGCAACAGACTGAAGTGCTTCAAACATATTTTAATCTATGATGTCAAATTATACTAAAGCAAAACTTTGTTGGCCACCTTTGAAGAATGTTAAGAAACTAAGTCCATACTTTGAAAACTAGTACATAAAAGGAAAGAATGGAGCCTCCCTGGTGGCACAGCTTTTGAGCGCCGCACTGTGAAGCTGTCCGCAGCCTCTGCAACACGGGTTCCATCCCAGCCGGCCGGCTAGTAGCCCACATGGCACGACAGACCTCTCTTGCGGTACCTGCTGCTCCCCTCAGCAGTGTATTTCGTCAGTCTGCCTGTTCAGTTCCCCGCTCTGGCTCTGGTAAATCCTCTCACCCTCCTGCGCTTCTGGCCTGTACCCCAGTTCCTGTATGAATAAATAAATCTATAAAAAAAAGGAAAGAATGAATCATTTACGGTATATTTTGCAAATGAACTATACCTCCTGGTAACTAAATAGTGAAAGAAAGGAAGTTTTTGGTCAAACCAATGAATGAAGTAGCTTTAATAGAATAACCATTTTGTAATTCTAATGAATTAATGGATTTAGACCCTCAGTGACTACTAAAAACACAAGAGGAGAGAAAAATTAAACATTACATTTTTCTCAATTCAATTATGCAACACCAAAGTCCCATCGGGTCTCCACTAATTCACAGCATACAAAGGAAACTCTTTTTTTTTTTTTTTTAAGATTTATTTATTTATTTATACAAGCACTGGGTACAGTCAGAAGTGCGGGAGGGTGAGAGAATTCACCAGAGACAGAGCGGGGAGCGGAACAGGCTGAAGGACCAAGGTACACTGCTGAGGGGAGCAGCGGGCGCAACAGGAAAGGTCTGCGCACCATGTGGGACCCTCGCCGGGTGGCTGGGAATCGAACTGGCACTGCAGAGGCTACCGGAGCTTTGCAGCCCAGCGCTCAACCGCTGCACCACCGGGGAGGCCCACAAAGGAAACTCTTAAGGTACAAAGGGAAGTGTGAAACAGCATGCCAGGGAGGTAATGACCACAATTAATATCCTAGAAAAGTCTACAGGACAAATGGCCTGTTTAAATTACAAAAACAAAGCCAGGAGAACTCATGTCTATCAATGTGGGTTCAGACTGATGCTTCCCTCTGCAGGATTTACGTGACATTGCAGACTCCTTTCCTCTTTCTCTTAAAAGATTTTTTTTCTGAAAAAGCTTTCTTAATAAGTCACTTGCACACGAAAATTCATCTTAGGGACTGCTGTTGAAGAACTTGACCTAAGTCCCATTTATTCCTCTAAATATGTAGAATCAAGCATAAATACAGGAGTTTGACTTGCATGGAAGCAATGCTATGGAAAAGTCAAAACATAAATTGCAAAACACATTTGGAACGCATGACAATGTGCTAATTCTTTTTTTAAATTTATTTATATATGCATATAAAAGCTGGGGTACAGGCCAGAGTTGCAGGAGTGGGGTGAGAGGATTCACCAGAGACAGAGCGGGAAACAGAACAGGCAGACTGAAGAAATACACTGCTGAGGGGAGCAGCAGGCGAGACAGGACAGGTCTGCCTCGCCATGTGGGTTGCTCCCTGGCCGGGCGGGGATCGAACTGGAGCTGCAGAGGCTGCGGACTGCTTCATAGTGCGGAACTCCTTGTGCCACCAGGGAGGCCCAACGTGCTAATTATTGTGCCTATTTCAGGAAGCTAATTCACAACGACACAAACCTAATATGGAAAAGGACATGAAAGTAAAATCACAGCAAAGAAAACACAAAAGGCTTGATATTTCAAAGGAAATTATGATTAAAATGACAATGAGAACTATTTTTATAGCTAATCAAAGATTTAACAAAATATAAATTCACTTGAGTATTGGGGAAATACACAATCAGTAGTGCAGAAAGTGTTAACTGATACAAAATCTTTAAGAGTTAGCAGCATTTGGTAAAAAGCCGCTTTCAGCGCGAGAGGGTTACTTACAGCAGGTGCGGGCGGGTACCTTGAGAGCACCGAGGCCGGCTTCCCCTCAAGCATAGGCTTGGAGCAAGTTTGGGGG